CTAGTTGGGTGTTTTCCTATGGAGGTTTTACAGGAGAAAGTGGCCAAGAGCCTCCCCCAAGATGAGAAGGTGTAGATGGGTTGTGTTCTGCACTGATGGAGGGAGGCCCTATGTGGATGAGAGCCCAGGTCCCATTGAAGTGTAAAAAATACAGAAAGTTAAATAACACAGAGGAATCTATTTAAATGTTGTGTCATCTTATACTTGATTTCCCATTGGGCCCGTACTACCTGTGTGGTGTCAAAAGTTATACATGAAAACTCTTGAGGGATCTGACCTCTGTGACATTCTTGCCCAAACCAGTTTGAGAGTGGAGGTCAGTGTAGTAGAAGAGAAGTGTTTTAAACCACAAATGGGGGAGAAATCACTCTTGTTCATTTTCTCAGAGTTAGTACCCAGAATTTATTTTTGCTTGATCTAGTCTCGTTAGAAGCCCTAGGTTCTGCTAGAGTTCACCTCAGGGGCCATCTCTAGACAAATCCTTTTCCTGATTCTTTCTCCCCACTCCCAGTTGTTAGTCTGTGTACATGTCATGTTCATCCCCACCCTGCTGGGGCAGGGACTGTTTTGTTGTCTTTAGATTTCCATATCTCCTTATAGGTAATTCGAGCTTAAAAACTGTTGTTGAATTGGAAATCAAACTAATTTCATGCTTCTGAGCTTTTTTTTTTTTTAAATATAAAGTCTTCAGTGTGATTGAGAAATATGTTATATTGGCTAGTGGACTACAGAAGCAACCTTTATTTCATGGTTTTTGATACTTGATATACTAAAGTCTTAGAAAAAGAAAGGAAAGGTGGTATAGTGGGAAAGAATTCTGAATTTATAGTCAGGTGACCTAGGTTCAAATCCTGACCGTCATTATGTGTGTGTCCTTGAGGGCAAGTCACTTCACCTCTGGGCCTCAGTTTCCTCCTTTGTAGAAGGACTAGATGATCTCCAAGGTCCTTTTCATGTTCAAGGTCCATACATGTTTACATTCGTGTGTATATGTGTGTGTCAAACTCTTTAAGGATTAAAAGTACTTTGGAAACATTGTCATTTGTTTGGTTCTTTCCTAGATTCCCTTCTCTTTCTATACTCTTGCTCTCATTAGCACTCATGGTTCAATTATTATCTCCATGTAGATGACTCCCATTTCTATATCTGTCTAGCTCTAATCTTCTTTCCAACCTCCAATTCCTTATCACCAACTCTCTATTGGTTATTTCTACTTGGGTGTGCTATATGCAGCTCAAATGATATTTCCAAAACAGAATTTATTAGCTTTTCATCCATGCCTTTTCCTAACATTCCTATTTCTGTCAAGGCCACCACCATATTTCCAGTCACCCAGGTTTGCATCCTTAGTCATACTTGACTCCTTATTCCCCTGCACTCTCCCCGCCATATCTATTCAACTGTCAAGTCTTATCATTTCTGCCTCTGTATCATCTCTTTGCCCATCTTCTCATGTGGCTATCATTACTTCTCACAGAGACTACTTCAGTAGCCTTCTAATTGGTTTCCCTGCTTCAAGTGTCTATCTTTTCCGTTCTGTCCATCTTCCACACATCTGTTGAAAACACAGGTTTGACCATACCACTCCCTTCTTCAAAAAGGTCCAGGGCGCCCTATTGCTTCTAGGGTAATGCAAGGTCCTCTGCTTGGCGTTTAAATTCCTTCATGATTTGATTCCAGCTACCTTTTCCAATTTGTTACCCATTAATAAGTTCTTGAACATCTAGCCAAATTGACCTTTTTGTTGTCCCTCACACGTGACTTTCCGTCTTCTGTCTCTGTGACCTTTCACAGGCTGTGCCCCATGTTTGGAATGCACTCTGTCTTTACTTCCTCCCCCTCCTCCCTGGTAAATGCTTGACTTTCTTCAAAGCTCTGCTCAAATGCCACCTCCTACTTGAAACCTTTCCTGCCTCGGAAGGGGGATGCTGGGGAGTGCTGACTGCTCTTTTCTCCCTCCACACCCACCCATAACCTCATATTTACTTTGTATATGTTTTGTATCTACTTACACATGTGGTTTCCCTCAATTTAGAATTTAACCTCTTTGAGGTCAGGGACTGTTTCATTTTTGTCTTTGCAACCTGGGTGCCTAGCACAATGCTTGCCACATAATAAGCAACTGATTGCTTTTTGGTTGATTAATTCTCACTACAACCCTGTGTCATAGATGCTATTATCCTCATCTTATCTGTGAGGAAACTGAGGCTTAGAGAGATTGAACTGATTTGTCCAGAGTTACACAGCTGGTGTCTGAGGTGGGATTTGAACTCAGGTCTTCCTGACTCCAAGTCCACCACTCTTACCTATACCCTGTGAGATCCTATGAGATCCTATAATAGCCTATAACAATCTCAGGGGATGGTGTATCTATATGTATGCAGCAAGTAAAAGGAGCTGAAGCAGAGGTTGTGATTTGTTCAGATTAGTTGTTTTTAAAGTAACAAGATCACTTGTAATGCCTAAATGTTGAACCCTATAGGTCAGAACTAAATTTTTCATGGTAGGTGAATATCTTAAGAAAATACTCTCATTTATCAAAACTCTTTGGAGCAACATCTGGGAGTTTCTGGATAATTCTCAGAACAAGCCATTCTGTGTTATGGAAAATTTGCCAGAGTGTGTTTGTGAAAGCTTAAACATTTACCTGTTTAAACTTGATTGTTCAAGGCTTTTCTTCAAATAGCTTGTTTTCCTGCATTATGAGCACAGCAGTTTGAAGTGTGTTGACTTTATTGCCAGTGTCCAGTCCTTGGAAAAGAGCAACAAGCTTAGGGGGAAAAAACATCACAATCACCACTTTTTGACCACCAGCCCCTTGCTGCTCAAAAGATTGTTGAAAAAGCCCCAACTTTAATTTTAGTTGTCTTTCTAGATCAAAGATCATAGATCTCAAGTTCGATGGGGCCACAAACATCGTCAAGTCTAACACCTTTATTTTATAAATGAGGAAACTGAGGCTAAAGGAGATAAAGTAACTTGCTCAAAGATTACTGAGAGATGCAGGATCAGAAGTATTGTTTCAAGGCCAAAAAAGATTTTGTATTAGAAAAGAGGAAAAATAAGTGGAGCATACATTTATTGTATATGTCAGGCACACTGTTGGGTATGCACAGGATGCACTTTTCAGGAGTTTTCAGACTAGGACAAGGATTCTTAATCTGGGCTCCATGAAATTTTTTATTAAAAATATTTTGACAGCTATTCAGTATAATTGGTTTCCTTTATAACCCTATGCATTTTATTTTATGTATTTAATACCATTATTCTGAGAAGGATAGGCTCAGGCTGCCAAAGAGGTCTAGGACACAAAAAAAGATTAGGAACTCCTGGTCTAGTTACTGGGGTGAAGATAAGAAGACAAATAATACTATTAACTGAAAAAAGCTTGCAAGACACTATTTTTATCTTTCTTTGTATCCCTTGCACAATGCCTGGTACATAGTGAGAGCTTTATAAATACTTGTTGACTCACTGACACAACTATCTCATTTGAGCCTTACCAACTCAGGTGGTGAAATGGGTGGTAGAATGCCCATTGTACATGTGATAAAATAGTAAGAGAGGTGAAGCTGACTTGCCTGTATGGTGTCATGCTGTCAGTAAGTATCTTAGGTGGAATTTGATTCCCAAGTCCAGTATTCTATTACTGTTCCTCATTGCCTCTCAGCTCAAATAACTATAATGGTTCTGGTGCTTTGTGATGAATTCACAGGAGAGGTGGAAAAGTGAAATGAGAGATTGCTTCTTGCTGGGGAGGTAAAGGAAGGAAAGTTTCATGGACTTGTTGGTACCTGATAGAGCTGGACCTGAAAGGAAGATTAGGATGTCTTTTTTTGCAGAGGTCAAAATGTTGGAGAATTTCAGTTTTTAAAAAATTGTCTTCACTTAGTTCTGTATTGGGAATTATAGATGTTGAATATATTTTGTTGTTTTTAGTCATATATGACTTTTTGTAACCTAGTTTGAGGTTTTCTTGACAAAGATACTAAAGTGGTTTGCCATTTCCTTCTCTGTCTTATTTGACAGTTGAGGAAACTGAGGCAAACAGAGTTAGGTGTCCAGGGTCACACAGGTAGTGTCTGAGGCTGGATTTGAACTCACAAAGATGAGTCTTCCTGACTCCAAGCCCAGTACTCTTATGCACTGCACCACCCAGCTGCCTTTGAATACATATAGGTAAAGGAAATTATACCTGCCTATTGAAATACCAAAGATTTTTTTTTTAAGCTATCCTGCATCTCACTGCCTGATCCTACTCTGATTAACATGAAAACTTTGACCTGCCTTATTTCCAACCTGATCCAGGTCTTCTCCCCTTATAAGCATCTTGGTGACTTTCTGCTCTTGGGGGGCTCACTATATTGATGCTTAGCTTAGTCCAAACAGCTTATCTTACTGCAGCTCATAACTCCTGAGTTTAAGAGATGTGACAGTCCCAGTCTCTTTAATAGCTAGGATTACAGACATGATCTATCACACTTGGTTTATTCTGTGTTAAAGGTGGTGAAAACTAGAACTGAGCTATGTATGTGTATATCTGTGTTTGTGTATGTGTATATATACACATACTTCAGGTCTAACCATTGGACTCTTATGTACAAAATTCCTTGAAGCATGATAATAGGCTTGTAAAACATTACTTCCAAAATGAATTAATACTCCAACAAATTATCAAAATCCCTTAGCTTTTTTTCCCCCATGGAGAAAAAAGGGTGGCTACAGTGTGAATTGCAGAATACTCCAGATCCCTTGGTACAGATAGGCAGATCTGAACTAGCCATCTTTATCATGGGTCTTTGAAGTTACATTCTCCTCCACCCAGAAATCCTATTAGATAGTAATATCTTTGAAAAAGGCTGTATAATTTAATGCGTTTTATATTTAATAGATTTTACAAAGGGCCTTAATCTTATAGTTTAATAATCCTTGCATAGCATTAATAATATAGGCTTCCAAATGTAAAATATTAAATTAGGCTATTCTTTCTCTGATCAGGAACTATGAAAAAAGACTTATCTTCATAATACTCCAGTATTCCATTGGATCTGTGATCTCATCGATGTGGGTATTCCCTCCAACAGTGCAGATTGCAGCCCTGCCTGCCCATCCTGTGCAACTCTTGTTCATGTCTTTCTGTAAGTTCACCACAAGGGACCTGCCCAGTATACTGGGGCTTCCTTGCATTCTCTTGGCATGGCATGGTTACCATTGGCATATGTAGGTTGCTCGTTGGTCATTCCTTGTTCTTGCCTTGTCTTTTTTTCTGGTCACACATCAACTTTTATCTTCTGAATTTGTTTAATAGTGGTAGTGATTGATATGGTTCAGTTCTCCTTTAGTATGTCTACTTTTTAGTCATTAGACAAAAATCTCATATTTATAGTGTCAACAGCCAAGTTAGTATTTATAAACAGTCTAAAGCTTTGTGATTCTTTGTACTCTGATCCACTTCCCACTACTTTGCTACCATCACTTTGACACACAATCACAGAACTGAGAGCCATTTTATCTTTTTCTTTGTTTCACAGATTGCTATGGCCAAAGAATCCATTTCCAAGTGGCCAGTCTCTGGGTGATGAGTTGCTGTGTGTCTACTGAGGTGGATCCTTTAAAAGCAGACTGTTGCCAGGATCATGCTCATAATTTTTTTTTTTTTTTTTTTTTTGGCGTAGTAGAACCTGTCAGAGCTTGGACTCTGTCGACATAGTCTTCTAGAACCCAGGGTCATCTCAGGCCTTGATGGGGCAGGTGAAAGACTATGTTTTTAAGTATATCACTTATTATTTTAATATGCTTTGTTATTTGATAGTTTAGTTTTTTCTTTTTCTTATTTTTACTGATATCTTTTATTTTACATCATTTTTGTTTACAAATATAGTCCTCCCTCATCCACTGCCCAGACGTTTTGTTTTTGAAAGTTCCAGTCACTTGTTGATATCTCTAGAAAGTAGTTATCTGTTTTTCTGCTAATATCTTATTTTCAAGAATAGAAAATATCAAAGATATCATTATATCTAACTTTGTGTTTTCCCAGACCATAGCTTCACATTCTCTTCTGCCCATTTGTGTTCATTCCTTCTGCAAAAATATCTCATAAAATGACCCTAAACTGTGAAGTGACTTTTCACCACTCTGAAGGACTGACTGGGGAAGCAAAGCCAGGGCTTCTTGAACTAACCATTGGTCAATCACTTTGGATGCTGTCAGCTAGGAACCAAGGAGGGTTAGGCTTTAACCTCAAGACTACAGCTTCGCCTCTACTATACCTTCTCCACAGTGAGTCATCTAAATCTTCACGTATTCATCCAGCTGTTCTGTAGAGTATAAACAAGAATTACTTTAGTATGAGGATTTGCCAGTATAAACTACATCTGGGCTATCCAGTGTTGTGTATATATGTCCAGCTCAGCATGTCTGACCTCTCTTCTTAGCTCTACTTGGTTCCACTCCCAGGTTAGCTGGACACATAGGGGAACATACTCATGTGTGTTCTCTCTCTCTCCTCTGTCTCTCAGAAAAAGGCCCTTTATGGTACCAGGTACCATGTAGTCCAGCCCTACTTGGTATTTTGTGAAAATCCCCCTGTCCCCTGATCTAGTTCTTCTTCCCTCTCTGTACCACACGAAATAAATAACTTCTTCCTAGGCATCAACTTTGATACTATTGTCTTCGAGCTCTTTTGTTTAGTTTATTTTTCTTTGATTTCTCCATGTTCATAGTTCTGTGTTCTTCATCCCTATAGTCTCTGTGTTATTGTGCTATTGTTCGTTTACATGTCTGCTTTTCCAGGAATTGGGAGTTGGGTTGATGGGGATTGTAGATTCAGTGATCCATTTATCCAATAAGAATTTACATTTTTGAAGCAAAATCCCGGTGGATAAACTGAAGAACTTAAAGTCAAGAAAATTTGGGTATAAATCCTGTTTTTGATGCTCAACTGTGTGACCATAGGCAGTATAAATAGTGCTGACTACTAATAGGGTCACTCCCTTCACCAGTGTAGATTACACTTCATACATCCCTTCTTCCTCACCCTATGCCAGTGTTATCCTTAGCTTTCTGTAAAGGTATCTAGCCCTTGTTGTGGAGGCCTTCCTCAGGTGCTTTGTGGACACCAGTGCAGCAACTCCTGTCTTCCATCTATCATCCCATACCACCCATCACTACATGAGTGGCCCACCTCCTTTTCTGGCTCTATACTTCCTTGAGGATGACTTTTCTTTTTTTCTTTTTTTTTTTTATTAATTTATTTTGATTTATCAACAATGTCTTCCATATGCTTTTGAGTTTAAAATTTTTCTCTCCCTTCTTCCCTACCACCTTCCCCAAGATAGTGCACAATCTGATATAGACTATAAATATACGTTCCTATTAAAACATATTTTCACATTAGTGATGTTGTAAGTAAGAATTAGAACCAATAGGAGGAACCGCTAGAAAGAGAAACCAAAACTCAACAGAAGAGAAAAAAAAATAGCAAATAGTATGCTTCGATCTGCATTCAAATTCCATAGTTCTTTCTTTGGACGTGGATAGCATTTTCCATCACAAAGCCTGTGGAGATGTCTTAGATCCTTGCACTGCTGAGAAGGGCTAAGTCTGTCAAAGTTAGTCATCGCACAATGTGGCTGTTACTGCATACAACGTTCTCCTGGTTCTGCTCACTTCACTCAGCATCAGTCCAGACAAGTCTTTCCAGGTTTTTCTGAAGTCTGTTTGCTCATCATTTCTTATAGCACAAATAGTATTCCATTACATTCCTATACCACAACTTGTTCAGCCATTCCCCAATTGATGGACATCCCCTCAATTTCCAATTCTTTGCCACCACAGAAAGTACTGCTATAAATATTTTTGTACATGTGGGTTCTTTTCCCATTTTTATGATTTCTTTGGGATATAGCCTTAGAAATGCTATTGCTGAGTCAAAGGGTATGCACATTTTTATAGCCCTTTGGGCATAGTTCCAAATTGCTCTCCAAAATGGTTGGATCAGTTTACAACTCCACCAACAATGCATTAGTGTTCCAATTTTCCCACATCTTCTCCACCATTTGTCATTTTTCTGTTTTGTCATGTTAGCCAATCTGATAGGTGTGGTGTGGTACCTCAGAGTTGTTTTGATTTGCATTTCTCTAATCAATAGTGATTTAGAGTACTTTTTCATATGATTATAGATGGTTTTAATTTCTTCATCTGAGAACTGCCTGTTTGTAGAGGATGACTCTTACTTCGCACATCTTGAGCAAGTCTTTGTTGTGTCAACCCTGAACCTCATGAACCCCATGAACCCCACAAATCTCACTTTGAAACAGTCTGCTCTAAGAAAGAGACAAACGAAATTGGGGTACGTGTGTCCACGGTTTAATTTCTCAAGGTGAGCTTGACATGCATTGCTTGGGAGTTCAATCCAAAACTGGGCCCCCCTAGGGGGGCCAGTTCAGAACTGATTTGGTTTGGAATTTTGGGTTATATGCCCTCCAAAGAGTAGGTGTTCCCAAGGGGGTGCCAATCAACTGTGATTGGTCAACATACTAGGAGGTGGGTGGGTTCCTTAGGTTACTCAGTCCACTGGGGCCAATATCGCCTGCAGTCAAAGGAAATACCACCCCTAGTCTTGGAAGTCAGTCTCCACCCAAACCTGAGTAGGATAAAATCAATTCAGGCCTGGGTTGGAATATGACCAAGATAAGAAGATTCAATGCAATCTCATTATCAGAGATGTCCTTCTGAACAACTTTGTATTGAAGGCTGGCAGGGTGAGCTCTGAGTCCCCTAGACACAGATTACCAAGAGAAATCATTTTTCACAATTGATAATTTACTTTAGGCTACTTACTTACTATCCCCCTCTCCTTTGCCCTGAAACACTGGGAATCAGGAAATGGCTCCAGTATTTATTAGTTGTGTGATCGTGGGCCAATTGCTTTAGATTTGAAAGTGTCAGTTTCTTTTCAGTAAAATGGGAATAATAATTTTTGAACTATTCACCTGACCACTTAGGAGTTGTGAGGAAAATGCTTTGTAAAACTTAAAGCACAGTTAAGATTTTGAAGATTTATTATGTGAAGATTGCAATGTGCCATGATTAGCACCTGCTTAGCATCATAGGGAGAATATTGGTGTTAAAAAGATGGGTTTTTGTTGCAGCAGAAATCATGCAAAACACTTAATGGGTTCCCAAATACAATTCATTCCACTTTGCTCTTCCTGTTTAGTTCTGGGTCCAGCTCCCTGTCTATCTGTGGTACTTGTGCAGTGTACAGGTATTGAAGGATTAATTCAGTGGGCTCCCCTTCAAATTGCA